GGTTTCTCACATCTCTTCGTCTGAGGTGTTACCTATTGAGATGAAAATAATTCCTTTGCAAGCCGTTGAATAAATGCCACAGCGAAACATTGGCTTCTTTTCCCTGCCTGAAGTTTTCTTTGCCTCCCGCAGCCTGTTAAAATCAGTCTTTTCCCATAGTTGTGTGTGGCTTAATTATTGACAGCCCTGAGTAACTTTGCAAGGCTGTGGCTGCCACAACATTTAAAAATTTCTCTGTGTAGCGTTGTGGACAGACCCCGCTGGGGCTAGCCCCTACTAGGGCCACCTTCCTTGGGAGCTCACCATTCTTGTAAACGTATTCCTTCCCCTCCAGTCTCTGTGACTTTGGGGTGCAAAGTGCTGGCTCAGCCAGAGGGGTCGAGGTGAGGACAGCCCCTCCCTGCTCTCCAGCACTCATTGTGCAGTGGACTAATGCCTGGTATTGGGGCAGCTACTACTCCAGGGCCACGTGTGTGCGGCCAGGCTGAGCCCCTTGGTTCCTCACTTCATTCGATCCTGATGTCTTCTCTTTTTGGGGAGTCCTATGGCAGCGGGAATAGCCTGTGTGATGGGCTTGAGGTGGAGAGTGGTCTGGGCTAGGCCACTCCCACAAAAACAGATGCAAGTCATCAAGGGCTTTGTGGTAGGGGCTGGGTGATCCATTGGTGCCATCAGAAGACAGCTCTGGTATGTGCAGTTGGAGCTTTGCAGGGGTCTTGGGCTTGATGGATCATGGAACTGTATCTGAGGGACAACCGAAGAAGGGGTGAAGCAGGCACACTTGGGGCGTGACAGGTGCCTGTCAGCAGGATCTCTGCAGCCCGTTAAAGACAGAAGGAGGAGGAGGGCTGGGCGGTACAGAGGTTTGGGGTTAACATGAGAAGAGACTGAAGGTTTTTGAGCACATAAGACTGTCTTTTTTTGTTGTTTGAAATAGTTGAGGCCCTCAGGAAATATTTATTAAGTGAATGAGGCCTGGAGGTTGTTGAGAGAGCATCTGCACTCTGGTCTCCTGCCTGCAGAGGTGCTTCTGAGCCAAGGCTGATGAAGGCTTTCAACGCAATATGTTGCCTTTGAGAAAGGAGAAATAGTCCTTGTCTGTCCTTGGAAAAGTTCTCAGGCATTCCCCTTCAGCCATGACCCCCTGCACTTGCCTTCCCTGCAAACACACGTGGTGGCTACTCCATTTGCCAGGAGACACATATTGAACACCTGCTTGCATGCTGGCTAGATTCTGGGGATGCAGAGTTGACTCTGCCCTGCCTGCCTTCCAGGAGACCCCATCCCAAGGGAAAGGCATCTGGAGAGGACAGGGGCAGGGCCCTCCCACAGGCATGGCACAAAGCCTTGAGTGCTCGGGAAACAGCTGCCGGGGAGCTAGGCCTGAGCAGCTGGTTACTGAAGGCTTCTCTGAGCGATCCTGTGAGGACTTCTAAAGCTGGAGGTGGGAGATGTGAATTCGACATAGTGAAAAGAGGAAGCTTGAATCCAGCAGCCCCTGTGTTCTATCCCCTTGTGAGTGTCAGCGAGAGATGGTGGCTGTGGCCACTGTGTGCTCCAGTGTCTGAGGGCTGAGGGGTGGGCCAACTCACTGGGTCACACAGCCTGTGAAAGGACATGTGGGTTTCCTAAAGGGTGTCCTGAGGGATGCTCCCGGATCCCTGTCAGGAAGACAGCACAGGTATTGAAGGGATGGAGTGTCAGAGCGCACATTGCCCAGGCTTGCTCCTGGCCCATCAGTGGCCTCTTACTGCGCCTGGACTGGGAATGGGGTGTGGTCATGTGATGAACCAATGTGGCTCCTTGGCTTCATCTTGGTCTCCTGGGCCCAGCTGCTGGCTCCATGCCAGGCTTTCCTTCAGTTCAGAGCCCCTGACTTCAGCGCCTTTTTACTTGTAATGACCTGTTTTGGGGTTGTACTTCAACCTCTTATCCACAAAAAGTACTGTGATTCAAGATGCTTTTTATGAACCTTTCAAAAGTCATGGCCAGTCATGTGAGCTTAAGCTTTTATGCTAAAAATAATCATGCAACTTTGATTTTTGATAGCCTAAGTTTATCTATACTACCTTTGTACAGACTTAACGGAGCATTAACAGAGGCCTGAGAAACCAAGGTTTCTGTCCCTCTCAGTCATCCTGCTGGCCCATCTCAATGAACAGCACCACCATTTGTGCTTACCTTCCTAAGTCACAAGTCTGGGAGCCCAGAACTTTCCTCTTTCCCTGTCCCCCACACCGAGTCACTTCTGGGAAGTTCCAATCTAGTTCTCCAAATCTAGACCCTCAGTGATTCCTGTCCCTCCAGGGTAAGGAGGTGTGTCCTTGCTCCTGGAGCCTTCCCCTTCTGGAGTGCATTTTGTTTCCCTGTCTTTTGTCCCTTTAGCCAGTTCCCTTCCCCAGAGAGAGGCAACTCCTCTTTAGTAAAATGTAAACTGTTAGTGGACCCAAGTTCTAGATACCCAAGTTCTTAGTGGCTTCTGGGTGCCTGAGGTTTTCACCTGGTTTTAATTGCATAAGTCCTTCACTGATGGGGAAATCTTAGATGTTAAGTGGGTCAAATCTTGAGACAGTTCAAAGTTCATTTCTTATAAATGTAAATAGAAATTGCCTTGATCTATGAACCGTTTCTGAAATGGACTCCATTATAACCACGACAGAAAAGCAAGGAAGAAAACAGTGAAACCATTTGTTTTCTTTTTTGAAAGTTTTTGTAACTTTATTTTTTATATAATTTCAAACTTACTGAAAACTTGAAAAAAACAACAACAAGGAACTTCTTCGGTATAAACAACCTTTACCAAGATTTGCCAACTGTTTATATTTTGCTTCATTTTTTGTCTCTGTGTGTGTATAGTATATATGCATTTTTTTCCTCTGAACATTAAATTGGAGATATCATGTCCCTTTACTCCTAAATATATCAGCTTATTTCCTAAGGACAAGGGTAATCTCTTACATAACCACAATACAGTTATCAAAATCAGGAAATTTAACATTAATCCAATGCTGTTTTCAAATCTACTCAAACTTTGTCAATTCTCCCAATAATCTTTATAGCTATCCCCTCACCCCCCAACATGGTCTAGGGTGTAGTACAGGATCACACGTTGTATTTAATTGTCAGGTCTCTAGTCTCCTTTAATCTAGAACAATTCCTCAGCCATTTTTTGTCTTTTAAGACATTGACAGTTTTAAAGAGTATAGATCCATTATTTTATACGCTGCCCCTCAGTTCGGGTGTGTTCACTTTTTCTCATGATTAGTTTCAGGTGACGCATTCTCGGGCACCAATGTCACCCATGTGATGTGCTGTTCTCAGGGCATCAGATCATGTGTCCTGTGCTGTCTGTCCTAGCATTGGTGATGTTAGCTTTGATCACTTGGCTAAGGTGGTGTTGTCCCCCATGTTTCGCCAGTGTAAAGTCAACTATTTCTGCCTTCGTAATTAATAAGTAATTTGTAGGAGATACTTTCAAGGTATGTGAAAATCCTGTTCCTCATCCAACTTTTCACCCACTAGTTTAAGCATCCAGTGATCATTTTTTAACTCCACTAGTCCATCTGTACTTAGTAGGTGGCATTCTAAGAGCTCCCCTCCTTTTTTACTTATATATTTATTTATTTGTATCTATATGGGCTCACGGATTTCTGTTTTATTCAATGGGTTATAATCTATTCTTCTCATTGATTTTGATGATTAAATTGTTTCAGATTTAGCTAGTGAGAGTCCTTTCAAGCTGGCTACTATTTCTGTTAGACACATTCCCAAATTTCTTTAAGCACTTTCTTTCTAGCACAGCAAGATGCTGCAGGCTCATCTTGTACTTTCTTTTTTTTTTTTTTTTGTCTTTTTTCCGTGTTCGGCAACGGATCGCAACCCTCAGTGTTGCCCCCATACCGGACCGGGGACCGGCGACGGGATCGCAAGCCTCGGCGCTGCTCCCGCGCCTCGCTCAGCCAGCGAGCGGGAGCCGGTCTGTACATGGGATCCGAACCCTCGGACGGGAGCGCCACCGCGCTTCCCAAGCGGCGCACTATCCAGTGCGCCACCGGGCCGGCCCTCATCTTGTACTTTCTGTTGAGCTCTGGAAACCATTTGATTTTAATGAATGCACCAACACAGTGCATTCCATAACATAGTTTATTTTGTACTACCAGTTGGAATATATTTATGTTATTTGGGACTTTTGTTTACATGTTCTCGGGAGAGAAGACCTTGTGACCATCTTATGGGTGACTTTCTTTTTATGATATTTGAAGACTATTTATGAATAGATAATACAGATTTACTTTGTGGATAATTTAAACTAAGCTAGAGGTTAAATGCTAAAGCAACTATTCCTCTTAAACAGTGATTGTATAACTGAAATTTTAATTTGTATAACAACCTTGTGGAATGTGGGGTGGTATCCCCTTTTTAAACATAGGAAAGTAGGGCTGGCCCGTGGCTCACTGGGGAGTGTGTGGTGCTGGTAACACCAAGGCCACGGGTTTGGATTCCTATATAGGGATGGCCGGTTAGCTCACTTGGGAGAGTGTGGCGCTGACAACACCAAGTTAAGAGTTAAGATCCCCTTATCGGTTGTCTTTAAAAAAAAAAAAGTCATAGGAAAGTGAGGCTCAGAGCGGTTAATATACTGTCAGAGTCGCACAGCTAGTGAATGGATGAGCCAGGGTTTTAATTCAGTTTAGTTTGACTTCAAAACTTACTTTTTCTGTTATATTTTGTTGTGATATAACACATTTCCTTACTCTAAATTGTAGAATTTGTACATGTAACAATGAATAACAAAAAGTTTATTTCTGGTTTAAGGTCATTTTCCTGCTGTGTAATTCTGTGTCTGTATGAAAATCAGGTCTGAAGAATTAAAGTATGTGGTTCGTCACATTGTCCCTCTCAAAGGAAAGTTTACTTGTTTTTATTAGAGTGACTTGGCTATCCTAGTGTTTCTTTAAATATCCAGAAATTCTCTAACCCTTTTATTTTCTTCCTTGTAGGAATTTGCTTGCTAGAAAACAAAATGCAAGACTTGACAAACAAAATGACTTGGGATGGAAGTTATTTGGAAAAGTACCACCACCCCGAGAGAACGCTCAGAGAGATTCAAAGAAAATACAAAAGGTATACAAGATATGAAAACACAGAAATATGCTGTTGTCTGTAAACAGCATATATTTATGAACCTTGTAAAAATGACCATTATTGAGTCTTTGAAATCAGAAAATGTTTCATATTATTTGCATGCCAAATTAAGTCTGTGTTCAGAATGTGGATGAATCGAATCTTTTTTATTTCTTATAGTTTTTAACATGCACATAGGAAAGTTCAATTGACAGAGCTAGGATTTAGATATTTATAACTTGATTTGATTTAATCAGTCTTCTCAATAATAGTTGCAAATGTGTTTATCATCAAATTTTTATTAATTGTGTTTGATATTAAAGAATTCTCTCATGGGTTTCTTTGGAGCTGAAATCCTTGCGGTGCTGCTCTGGGACAGAAGGACTGGGGCTGCCATTCACCTGGGCTGTGGTAGGGCCCCTCCCCTTTGCTCACTCTGAAGTTGCCCACTTTTAGGGGGGAGAGGGTTCAGGGTCAGGCCAGGCCTGCAGTAACATTGCCAACGGCTGCCTTGCTCCTTGCTGTGGAAGTGATGCCAGCAGCTGGAGGCAGTTGCTCCTCTCTTCAAGGAGGGGGTGCATGCAGGGACACAGCAAGCCTGTGGCCTAGGCAGCCCTAACTGTTCCACTGCAACTTCCCCAGGGTCCTTAGTTGCTGCTGTCGTGGCATCCTAATGTTCTGCTGTTTGCCCAGTGCTGTGATGTGACATTGCCCCCTGGGAGCCTTGCCCCTCCAACCTTAGTTTTATATTCATTAGCAATTATTTAATGAACACTTTTGGGGACCTACTAAGTGCTAGGCCTCATGCTTGGCACTGAGGTTGGAGAAGAGACACAGTTTATATGCTCAAGAGCACAGCTAACTCAAAGAGCACCACAGGTGTGTGAGGAGGGAGGCATGACCTCATCAAGGTGGCACAGACAGTTTAGTTTAAAGATGTGACAAAATTGTTATGGGATGAGGTACTGAGTGATTACTGTGTGCTAGGTTTAAATGGTTTAGCACTGGGTTTTTAGTTCATTTAAAACTCTCAACAACTTTATGAGGAAAATACTATTATTATCTTCAGTTTATCAAAGAAACACTGAGACATAGAGGCTGAGTGACTTCTCATGCAGCTAGTAAGTGGCAGGGCTGGGATGTGACCCCAGCACTTGGTGCCAGGGCCCTCTGTGCAGGCAGGGCCGAGCAGGTAGTGGGGACAGCACGAGCTAAGGGACAGACTGCAGCCCAAGTCGAGGAGGCCGAGTCTAGGGAGCAGCTGTCTGTGGTCCTGTGCCATGTGCCTGGTAGGCTGTCTCTAGCCTGAGGGTCAGGAGTGGTGAGATCACCCTGGCAAGAATATGGCTCTTGGACTAGTCAGGTGAGAGGAAGCGGGGTCCGCCCAGTGCTGCAGTCAGTGTGGGGTTGCAGAGGATGCCCTCTGAGTACTAAACAAATGGGACGAACAGACTTGCTGGCTGCCTTTTAGAATAGGGTGCAGTGCGTGCAGGGCCAGGTGGTGAGTACAGCCCTGGGCTCCAGGCCTGGGCCGCACAGTGGTTTCCACAGACTGCATTTTTCATGTTTCGGCAAATTGAATTTGTTCTGAATGTTGTCTACTGTTCCCGATAGTAGTTGTCTGGACCCGGGAGACTCACTAAGTCAATCAGCGTTAGGATTTGTTTTTGTCAATTGTTACATTTTGAATTTTAATTACTTATCGTGTAGGATTATTAAAATAACAGACAAATAAAATATGATAAGTTCATATGCAAAGCTCAGGTATAAATTTCTTAGGAAACCAAGTAGCCATGCTGTTACAAGGGAAATCTGCACTTTAAAAAAAGTAACAATTGCACTAAATAGATTTTTCCGTGGCTCTTAATATCACTTTCATCGTGTTTGAGTTTCTTTATCTTTTTAGTACCCTGCCTTTTTTTTTTTAAGGTGAACATGGATTATCTTATTGACTTTAAAGGTTTTTTTTTGAACTGAAATGACTAAGCCAAATAATTATGTGGTAACACAATACTGCAAAGAGGGCCATCTGGCTTCAGTCATCAGTAATAAAGAATGTAATTGTACCTGCATGAGTCATACAATTCTGCCATGACCTGTTTGCCTGTGCTTTGTGTCTCTGGCCCTCTCATCTGTCATTCATGCCCAGGCTGGCCAAGCCTGAGAGGGATTCAGGGTCGGGGGCATACTACTGTGGGGAGGCTTCTGGACACCAGGCTTGAGCTGGCTGCTGTCACAAGTGTCAGTTCACACAGGTCCCTCTTTCCCACTTTAGAGAGGCAGGTGCTGGGACCTTGAGTGTCCAGACTTGTGATCCAAGATAATGACAGTAACTCCAGTTGGAGCTAAAGCATAAGATGTTAGGAAACTAATTCCTTTTCTTTGTCTCTTTGGAGTGTTTTTATTGCTTGAGGGAAGCAGCATCACATGGTGATTTATGAACATGGACTTTGGAGTCAAACTGCCTGGGATTATATCCCAGTTCTGCCACAATTTGGCTGTGTGACTTTGGGCAAGTTACTTAACCTTTCTCGGCCTCACATTTTCCTCATCTTTAGAATTTGGAGAACAATACCTACCTCCAGGGTGATGAGGATTAAATGAGTGAATACACACGATGGGCTGTAAAAGTGTTTGCTGTTATCATTGTTTCTTTCCTATGACAAGTCAACCTCGAACAACAGGATATAGAACGTGATAGGAGGGAATGAGCCCGAGCCCGTTGATAAATCTCTTCATTTGCATGTTCAACAAACACTGTGCCATGTTGGGGCCAGGTCTTGTGCTGGGTACTGGGAGCACAAAAGCAGTTGGGTTGACTTGCCTTAAGGAGCCTTTGGTTGAGCTGAGGGGACAGGTGTGCACACCAGCCAAGAGCTTTGGACTTGCAGGCTTGGATTTGATTTCTGGCTTCACCTCTTCTTGTCTGTGTGACGTGGGGCTAATTATTTCTTCTTAGTTTCCTCATCTGCTAAATGGGCAGATCAGTGGGTTATTATAAATTAATACACAGGGTCTAGCACAGTTTGTGGCTCAGACTTAGTACTCAAGGAGTGGCTATCATGGCTTCTAGTTAATAAATAGGCCCAATTTATGGCATAGGTGCTATATATATGTGGTTTGCTCGGGGGACTGTAGGACACATCTGACCTTATTCTAACTGGGCCACATTCTCTTTGCTTGGGCTTTACATGCTACCCTATTTTGGGAAATGTTGAAATGTTACTTTCAGTCATCTTTTCAAATTACATAAAAATTTTGAAAATTGTCACATTTTTTATCATCTTAAATTATGATTCCAGAGAGATTTTCTTAATGGGGGAAAACAAGGGTAAGACGAACCTCAGTAAAACAGTGGTTCTCAAGTACGGCCCCTGGACTAGTCACTTCCTCATGACCTGGGCATTTATTGGGAATACAAGCTCTCAGGCCTCAACCCGGACACTCTGAAACAAACATTGAGGCTGGAGCCCAACAGTCCTGTTTTAACAGATACTACAGGTAATTCCAATGCATGCTAAAATTTAAGAACCACTGCTGTGCAAGAAGGGAATGTTGGGTATTGGGAGGAAAGTAACCATATTTGCTACAGCAGGTTAAGTAGAGGGCCCAAAGAAGACTACTGTACAACTTTTGGTAATTGCTAGTGAACTGGAGAACTTGGGAATAAAGATGGGGAGACAGTATTTGAAGAGAGCTGCCTTCAGGTCTCCTGTTGCTGGGTTATATGGACGGGGCTCTGGCCTGACAGCATGGATGGTGATGCTGTCTCAGAAGTGCAGTCCTTTACCATGTGAATTAAGGGGAACCTTCTTTCTTGGATTCCATGGTCCTTTCATTTGTTCCACAAATTTGAGCCACTGAATCCCATCCTGTAATCCCATCCTGAGATAACAATGAAGTGTAAGACTTATTTGGCCCTTGCCTTCATTGGAATTTACCATGGATCAAGGAAAGACAGATTTAAATAAATAACTCTACAAATAATTAATTGCAGTTGTGATAAATGTTGTGGAGGAGAAGTGCAGAGTGCAATGATCATGAGAAGTTTTGTACCATTAACTTTTGTACCATTTCTCTGAGATCAGGTTTTCAAGTGCTAGTTGCCAAATGCAAAGGTCACTTCTCAACCTTGTCTTTCTTGACCCATCAGCAGCATTGCCTCAGCTGACCTCTGCCCTGCTCCTTGAGAGACTTTCTTACCTCAGCCTCAGAGTCACCCAGTCTTCCTGCTTTTTAGTTCCTTTTGCTGGGTCCCTCACCTTCCCAACCCTCTATATGTTGGAGTGCTTCCCTATCCACAGTTACCCTCCAGGGCATCTCAGCTGGACTGGCGGCTTCAGCAGTCAGGCCTACAGCTACAGCCCCGACCACTCCCTGAACTCCAGCTTAGGCATCTAGATGCCTAAGAGACCTTTAAAAGACCATTTACAAAGTAAAAATGAAGCTTTGTAATTTGAGGAGATGTCAGAGGCTCAGGGCTGAAAACATTGGGGGATGCTTTAGAACAGAGTTTGGGAATCTTTTAGACATAACTCTATGTACGTAGGCTTGATGAATTGACATTATTGTCAGGAAATGAGGTTGAGCAAGACAGTTTACGTCCTGGTTGGGCTCTGAGGCAGCTGCTGATTGTGGCAATGATAGCTGCAGGAAAGGACAGTCTTGTAGATATCAGTGTCCTGGATAAAACATTATCCTGGCCTATTGAGCCTGGGTTAGTATAACCGGGAATGTCTTGGATGGCCTTCTAGAATTTCAGGTCAGCTTTTACATCTTAGAGAATTCCAGAAGAAGACAAATCCAGGACAGCATAAAGTGATACTCGTTCTGCTCATCTCTGGGTTCTGAGAAGTCTGGGGTACTCAGAAAGTCACAGAACATCACAAATTGCAGAAAGGATAGGTCTGGGTGGTCAGTGGAAGTAATTGGCTGCAGGCCTACAAGTAAACTGTAAACAAGAAAACTATCTTCACGTCCATCATCCTGTATGCCTTTGG